ACTAAGTCCCATGCTTGGGATTGAACAAAGGTTGCATTTAGAGAGGGATTGCACTTATGGGGGTTGCATTTATGGAGTGTCACTGTAGTTCGTGATTATGTAATAAATAGACAATTGTTACGTGACAATTCACATAATAATCATTTTGCATTGTTTTAAGGCGCGACCAAACATCTCGTGAATAAGAGCCCCCTTATATGGGCCCTTATATACGGTAATTAAGGTATGGCGTTTCAATAGATAATATCATGCAATTTTATTGGTTAATAAATTCTATCAGGGACGTTTGATGTTTCGACCTTTCTACTGATTCATCTAAGCGCAGAAGTTTATTGCGCATGTATCTAATATCATTTTCTGTTGCAAATTCTCTTTGTTCTAAAAATTCTTGACCGTAGCTTCTCTTCCTACCTTTATGGATATCTCCTTCACTTAAATTTCATATCTGTTTGTGTCTGTTGTAAGACACCTTCAGTCGGAAGAATTTTTTCGATGAGTAATGGTTTAACACTAATGAGACTGACAATTGGTAATTTGATTTTTGAACTTGGAAATTGTTGTCTTTTATTTATTTTTTGACTTAATGTATGGCCTGATTTACGGCCTGATTTATGTCTCGACGTTGAATTTATGGCCTGACTTTTTACTGTATCGAGAATCGTGACTAACCAAATGAAACAAATAATCAACATATTCTATCACAAATATTCATATATAGAGATGACATGATTTATTGTGATACATATTATAGCACTTTTCAAAATAGTATGATCATCATCAAAAAAAAAATTGAAAACGAAAACAATTTCAGCCAATAAAATCAGTTATAATCGCTTCATAATCAGTTATAATCGCTGGTGTAACAACCCAACAAACTTTCTTTTCTTGCCTTGCGCTAAGTAAAGAGGTAAAGTTGTATTAAGTAGGCGTCTTCTACTCTTCAGAAAGGTTTAGTAATCACTGGCTCGCAGAAGTTTTCACGAAGTTTTCACCTGTTTTCACGTTGTAATCGTTGTTTTCGCGAAAAAAGTTGTGACCAAATGTTGTGTGACTGCAGAATTTTGAAAAGAGCGATAATAATATATTAATATGGTTAATAACCCCCCCCCGTGTATAGCACCCTGCAGTTTAGGCCGGAAAAAATGCAAATCAGATATTCTATTGAAATAAGAATATTATTTATTACTGTATTAATTAACATCGATATTGATATATGGACAACACGTACGAGTTTATACACTCTCTCACTTGCTTTGGTTCAATATCGAGCCTTCTCTCAGTGTCGCAGATAGAATGATAATGATAATAGTAATAAATGACAACAAGTTTTTCTCTTGCTGACCACGTCTCGTAGGTTTGTTAGCGCGAATCATAATGAGCTACAGCACGTGAATCCGTTATGTATTACGCAGCTTTTATTATAGTATGTGTTACATAAACACTATGGGTGTACCATACCGAATACCCACTGAGTAAAGTACCCCTCAAAAAAAAGTGAAATATAAAATACCCGGGGTACTTTAGTCAGTGGTATATTATGGAAGTAGTCATGTTATTATTAGTATCTGATAACGGCGAGTCAACTAGTCTGTAACCAAGCGGTTTGATTTCAATTGTTTGGCTTCAGTAATTTTAAATTTTCCGCTTGTAATCTAATAGATGTCTTGCAAATTCATTCGACTGTGTTATAAAACCAGACGGACTATGTATCTGAAGTCTAAGGACTGGGATGCTAAGGTCCTGAGATACCGAGGTACTGAGGTACGGAGATGCCGAGATGCTGAGGTGCTGAGATGTTGAGATGCCGAGATGCCGAGGTACTGAGATGCTGAAGTGCTGAGATGCTGCTGAGTGCTGAGGTGCCGAGATACTGAGAAAGTTTTGTTTTCCTTATATAGATGTGATCGATATAATATACCATATATGGTAATCGATTCGTCTCAATTCAGGTACTCAGATTCGCAGGTTTGCAGATTTTGTCACTTTTACTTTTATACTGGGGTACACCGTAGTTTAGGTTCAAAGTGGCTTATCTTGTAAATTCTTACGATCAAGTACGATTTACAGTCTGGATTTGTTGCTTCCCACATTACGATTTGTAAGAATCGATAATTACCAAATTTCCCAATATTATGTGATGCAGAATCGTTGGTATTAGGTAATAGCAAGTACAAATATACTTTCATTAGGGTAATTAATTTAGGACAAGGAGAACAGATTCTAAATGTCGTGTCAATACTTCCGACTCGTGACATTGATTATGCGTAAACGTTTGCAATGATGTCCCACCATAAATAAACCTGGCTATTCAATCACCAATTAATTAGGTCAATTATCTCTTAGTCGAATATCTTCTCTCTGCATACGACAGACGTGTTATTCGGGAAGTCCATACTCTACATTCATTTGATGACTAACAAAAAGAGAGCTTTAGTATATGAATTTGACCTGATTTTTTATACCACCATGTATAGTAATGTAAACACTGCAGATATGATGTCCGGTTTTGAATTATAAAATGCGTTAGTAATTTTAGCGAAGTAGTAGTTGTAACATAAATAAGCATTGTGATTTTTTTTTCAAAGCATTTAATTGTTTTGCGAGAATTATCCTTATAATATATTTATAAGAAATTAGACACACATGCTTTACTTATTTTTGCGAGAAAATCGCTTTGTAGACAATTTACAACAAAACTTTCGGTCAAATAACACAAAATTTTACAAATATGCTCCTCATATTGTAACAAGCGTCTTACTTATTGCTACTTACGAGCACATTCTATTGCCTTTATTATTGTCATTTTATTTGTTCGTATGTAAATCCCGTCACTGTGTAAATCCCGCTTGGGGTCCCTATATGTAAATCCGGAATTTACATACAACATATTCAATCTTGGCGGCATACTATAAATCAAATTAACACAATTATTTCACAAAAGACCTCTGATTAATTAAGACTGGCTATTTGACCAAGATAACTACGTTTATTAAAAAAGTTTGGGCTGATGTAGACATATTGAGTATCGTTCGCTCATAGTGGTTATAATTTTGCGATGTTGGTCAATCCAATGTTATTTTAGTAAAAGAAAAAAACAAAAGTGTAGACAAATAGAACTTAATCGCGCAAACTACAAAATAATGTGACCGAGTTTTTTTGTCGATACAAAGATAGAGTGTGCAAATTGTGTTATTTGATTAGACGCGTATTTTGCAAAAAAAAAAAATTAAAATAAAAATAGTGCTATTGATTTCAAACCATTTTTTCGCACACTATCCGTGTTACCATATTAGTTAATGTGTTGGCAAATTTTATAATAACCTTAAATGCACATATCTTATTGTTATTTAATTCAAAACGCGTCGAGCAAAAGTTTACGTTTGTAGCTTATTCGGCGGTTTACTTTTTATCTAAAGTAAAGCATTCACTCTGACGAGCGTTACATACATTATATTATTTCATAATATTATACTTTCTGAAAACACGTATTGCAGAGTGTTGTAAACGAGTTGTAGTGCAGAAACCAGCCATTAATACTATTTTCTTTACATATTACATCCTGGAAAAATAATGGCGGCATTGTAAGTAATGTTGTTTACGATAACAAATTCTAAATTCACAAAAATTCTCAGTTTTTGCAATAGCTTGACACAAAAATCGGATAATACTAGTAGAGGTGATTCGCGAGTAGTTTTTAAGGGCCAAGTTAATAATACCGACTGTCGGATTCTAAGGCTACTTAATATAGAATCTCGTTTGACTTGTGTGATTTGTTGGTTTCGCATACCATTCACTCTATGTTACAGAATAGATTACGGGACGTGATTCCGTGTGAAATTTCAACTTCCAGAACACTTCCGCTTTCGTTAGGTGAAGGCGCATTCCATCATGTTACACCATATAGTAAACAACAACAATAATAATAAAAGAATGGGCGTATGATTTGTTTCACAAATCAAACCTACTTTTTGAGTGATTGGCCACTATCTCATCTACGCCCAACATACTTATGTCACCCCAACAATATAATCTTATCTCAACAGTCTCAACTATCCCTTTCATTTCCCCCAACCTTGTTCACCATGACTGCCCTAAGGAGTATCGTTTTCTTTCTCATACTGTCTTGCGCTTTGACTAATGCTAATGTCATAGACAAAAGTAAAGTATTCATCAACGAAGCTGTTTCGTATCTTGGTGAAGCTCTTTCACCCCCGGTAATTCAAACGGAAACAATCACCGACTGCGGAAGGTCGTCCGATATTCTCCAGATACACTATATAGACATACGACCAGATCCTCCGCAGAAGGGACAAGAGCTGACGATTGATGCGGCTGGATTTTTGACCGAAGTTGTGGACCAGGGGAGCTACGTTGACGTTATGGTGAAGCTTGGATTGATTAAGCTGTTGCAGAGACGATATGATTTGTGCGATGAGGTGACCAAAGTCGACAAGCAATGCCCTCTCGAAGGATATCAGACTTTACATCATTCGTTAGAGTTGCCTAAAGAGATTCCTCCTGTACGTATAAAATAAATTGGTATCGGTCGCGCGCACTGGGATCTAGGTTATCTTCATCACCTGTTTACGAGATCGATATTAATCGCTTGATATTTTATTATTCTGTGATGTAATAGGGTAGGTATATCGTCGACGTCAACGCATACACGCCCGATCACCGAAAAATTGGTTGCTTGAAAGTAATAGTTACTTTCCGTCCTTGATTTGGACGCTTATAAAGATGGGCTTATTATTGATGAGCATCTCTGTAATCGACTTTCGATAGTCACCAAATATGTTGTACTGTAATGTGGTACAAATGTTCCAATGACTTTGATGCGTTGGATTTATTACGTAATAAACTCAAGCATTCTACTAACCTTGTTAATTCTAATTCGTTCATCATGCATGAATTCATAAAGTGTTTGCGTCATCTGGAAACGGACGTATTGGGGGTTTATACCGCATACATTCAGAGTAAGGATGTTTTTTAGAGTACTTTTGCTTTTGCAAATCATAAACGTTACGCAAGACTGAGCATCGCGACCTTAGTTACGAGACACGATTCTCGAAAAAAAAAAAGGGGTTTAAATTTATGCACATTGTCAGTGCTTACTTATTGTGCAGTACAAATACGGAAGCGGAGTAGAAATAAGAATGCGTCAATTCGGATTGAGAAAAGTCGCTTCTAGTGCATGGAAATATAGCACGAAGGATTTTCATCATTTATTTTAATATATTCACTTAAAGTCATTCAGTCGATCCATGTAACTAGAAATCAAGCAACCATTTACGATAATAAATACACTTTCGGGGAGTTATCAAACCCTCATCCGTGCAATCGTTAAACACCTAGATGGAAACAAATTTCAAGCGTTAGGATCCAGACTTGACAGAGTATGATTCATCGAGCATGCTCACCGGACATTTTCCACATGGCGTATCAGTCCACGGATTACCACCACCTCGTCTATCCTTCACAGCCTTGTATACAATCTCGGGCTCATCATCGTCGACATCGTTCAAATCCATCGCGGCTGCTCCCGAGTCGGATATCCTTCGTTCAATCTTACCATCAAATATTAGTAGATCAAGGAGACTGTTGATATGATCGAGCGAGAGGTCAACTGTGGTCAGTTTGCTTTCTTCAATAAAGCGGTGAATTTGGACCGCACTTACAAAACCACCACGAGAAGCTGGAAAGACTGTGTAAGCATCTTTTCGAGGAAAGCTCTGCCAGGTTTTGGTAAATGAGGAAGAGATATCAATTAGGACAATTTAAATTGGCAGTCTACAAGTGGAAATATGTCATTGTGCATTACCTACCCTTGAATATATGAACTTGTGTATGGCTTTTGTGAGTGTCTCGACAAAGTCTGTATCCAACTCTTGATCAGTGAACCAAGGACCACCAGATACCTCTGCTGAAGGTGTCAATTCATAGAGCATATATATCTTACGAGTTGGAGCCTATACAATAATCGAGCACGATAAATTCAGTTGTCAGATTGCCAAGGCTGCCGACAATTTGTTATTCATGTCCGATGTTCCTAATTTTTGTGCTTGGCTCACCTTGACTGATTTAATGGCTTTTATAAGCTGTTTCGATTCAAGATTCTTTAGACTTCGCGTTATGACTGTCTGATGAAGATTCGTCTTGGTCTTTAAATTGCGTGTCCATATTCCTAAACGTAATATAAATGGTGATGAATATGTAACCAAACTTTTAGATGATATTAACAGTATATAGCCCTTAGATACCTTCATTCCCAGCAGCTTTGATTGTATTATATACTAACCTATCATCTTCATCTAAGTCGTTTATCCTAAACTTTATTTATTAGTCAAACAATGACAGTCGGACAATATTTTACCGGACGTTCCGCGCTCTTACTTTTTTCTATCAGAAGCTGTCACCGCATTATACGTTAATTTGCCATCTTTATCTGAACGCATCTCAATGAGGCCCTGTAGACACAGCATATGGATTAGTCTTGTGTATTCTATTTGGAAATCAATCGGTTACAAACTTGCTTGGGTACCTTTCGTGACAGGCTGTTGATAATTTTTGCCACATTTTCGACAGGAATTTCACAGTTCTTGGCAATTGACGAGCCTTCGCTGCCCTAAGAACGGTTGGTTACGGATTAGCTTGGTGCTCGATATACGGGCGAAACAAACAGAGCAATAGTCGAATACACTAATAATACTTTGGGTTTTCCGTTAATGTATTGATATACTTTGAGCTCCAATTCAGACAATCCTCCCATACTGGATACCGATCTTTGGTATTTGGACAAGTGTCATCCAGTTCGATGACGTTTGACTTGGTGGCTTTGACGTTGATAATCAGTGGAGAAAGCGCAGTATTTTCGGGCGAACATCGGTATTTCCTTTGTGTGGTAGGTGTTACAGAGGTTAAATTTGGTTTAGTTACGTAAGGATATTCAATCTTACTTCCATTTATGAAAAATTTATCAGGCTTTATTGACCGAATGCTGGTCGGGATATATTCCGATATGTCTCCCCCCTATTCGGGAAAACATGATCCCGAAAATCCCGATCCAATACTGTAGATATTTTGACTATGAATGGGAAATAAACAAACGCACATAATCGCATAAACTGAATATTTGATACAGCATATCTTGTAGGGATTTCCGACATTGTTAAAGTAATTTCTTTATTAGAGACATGTATTTTGTTTTCCATAATCAATTAATTTCAACCATGTGTTACACGATTAGGCTTTTGACAACTGATACGCGTATCGTTGAGCCGATGTTCCTGATATAACGAATAAGTATAAAAGCAGCCGTGTTGTCACGACATTCACTGCAGTTGTAACGCAACTAAAAGTTCATTAGCGTCAAAAGAAAAGAAGAAAAAAAAGGAGAGGAAAAATAAATAAATTAATCTTAATTCAAATAGCATCATATCATGGCGTCCTATAAACAAGAAATAGAAGAACCCAGCACAGCACACAGTTCAAACAGTTCCGAAACCACAACAATCGAATTATCAAATGATAATACAGGAAAACTTGATTTCGAAGCAGCCGACAAAATAATGACCCAATTACATGACGAAAAGGATCCCAAGAAAACACCCACCAGTGACTCTGTCGAAAGCCTGGCGATAACACAGTTGTTCCGTTTTGCTGATAAATATGACCTTATCCTAATAACTTTCGGCTCAATAGGTGCCGCCGCAAACGGTGCTGCTCTACCTCTCATGACTATCATATTTGGAAACATTATCAACGCATTCCTTACATTCGCATATACCGCCCAAAGCGATCGTGAACATCTCGAAAGTGCAAAGCAAACAATGACGCACGAAATAAACCGAAACCTTGTTCTCTTTTTAATTCTTGGTGCTTCGGTAGTGGTTCTGGCATATTGTCAGATGGCGTTCTGGATGCTTTCTGGAGAAAGACAAGCAAAGCGTATTCGTAACCTATATTACGCCGCAATCATGAGACAAGATATTTCGTGGTTTGATAAAATCTCAACTGGTGATGTAACAAGCCGTATTTCTGGCGACGTTACAATTCTCCAAGAGGGTATTTCTGAGAAAGTGGGATCGATTATTCAGTATACTTCTACGTTTATCTCTGGATTTATTATTGCATTTACAAAAGGTAAATAGTGTGTTTGTACTCAAAATTCAGGTGATCTGTCCACGTGAGACATACTAACCAGTTAATTTTACGTGTTTTCCTTGTAGGATGGAAATTATCTCTAGTATTATGCAGTGTCTTCCCTCTTCTTGCCGTATCTGGTTTTGTCATGGCCAAAGCAATGGCACGCTCGACAGTGGCAGGACAAGGTATGTTGTATCCTAATTGTATTTTTGTATCTCGAATCAAATATCATATATATATATATATATATAGGGATAAATTGTCTGATCACCCAAATTTTTGAAAAGTATTGCTAATAATAAATTTATTATCTAGACGCTTACGCGGCGGCCGGCGCAGTTGCAGAACAAGTTATCTCTGGAATAAGAACTGTAACCGCATTTGGGGGACAACAACGTGAGCTAAATCGATATATCGCACGATTGAATGATGCGTACAAGGCCGGCAAGAAGAAGGCATTGGTCAGCGGTCTTGGTTTGGGTGCGATGATGGGTATAATCTTTGCAGCATACGCGCTTGGATTCTGGTATGGTGGTCGCTTGGTTGCGTCCTCTGAAGCAAATGGAGGAGAAGTACTGAATGTATTTTTCGCCATTATTATCGGTGCATTCTCACTTGGTAAGATCTAAATTAGGACTGGAAATGGAATTGGCTCATTTTATTCTTCTTGTTTCTAAATATAATTTCTCTCTTTAACAGGTAACGCGTCTCCGAGCTTCTCTTCGGTCGGTAATGCTCTGGGTGCAGCAGCAAATCTATTCGCTGTGATTGATCGCGTTCCTACAATAGACGTCACCAGCCCAAGTGGCAAGAAACTCGACAAAAGTTCTGTCAAAGGCAGCATTGAATTCAAGAATGTCACATTTTATTATCCACAACGACCTGACGTACTAGTCCTAAAGGATTTCAGTTTGACCATTGAAGCCGGAGAAACAGTTGCCCTTGTCGGTAGTTCCGGGAGCGGTAAAAGTACAATTGTCGGTTTGTTGGAGCGATACTATGATCCGAACAACGGTACAGTGTATCTTGATGGGGAAGACTTGAAGAAAATTAATCTGAAATCAATGAGAACACAAATCGGACTCGTCGGTCAAGAGCCCGTACTTTTCCCAGAGAGTATCGCTCAGAATGTCAAATGGGGTGCTGACCCAGACCATACACCAACTATTGAAGAAGTCATTCAAGCATGCAAGAAAGCTAATGCTCACGAGTTCATTGATGAATTACCAAATCAATACGATACACTTGTTGGTGAGAAAGGCGCCTTATTGTCTGGCGGTCAAAAGCAAAGGTAAATGGCGGATAAACGATGATTGAAGAGAGTACTCTACATGGTGTAATAGCAATTTGCCATCATGCATTTTTCAACTGCTAACAAGTATAATAATGTCTTTTTTAGAATCGCAATTGCGCGAGCTTTGATCAAAGATCCTAAAATCCTTCTTCTCGATGAAGCCACCTCAGCACTTGATACAGATTCTGAACGTCTCGTACAAGAAGCCCTCGATGCAGCCTCGCACAACAGAACCACCGTTGTCATTGCTCATCGTCTCTCCACAATCAAGAATGCAGACAAGATCGTTGTTATGTCCAAGGGTGAAATTCTCGAAATTGGCAAGCATGATGAACTCATTGCTCGTCAAGGTGCTTATTACAGCCTAGTCAAAGCACAAGAATTGAAAACTAAAGGCACAACTGAGATTGATGGCGACGAGAAGGATGATGACAGCTCTTCTGCTACAGCTAGTCAATCTGAGGAAGCTATTACCATTTATGACGAAAAAAGACCCAAGGCTTTCATGCGTCGTATGTCTACCAAGGCATCCGTAACGAAATCGGTTAAAACAATTGACGACATTAAAAAAGAAGAAGAAGCGGTTTTAAAAGACGAAAAAACTCCTTTGGCTCGCGTATTTAAGCTCAGTAGTCCGGAATGGCCTTACCTTGTTCTTGGCGCTTTAGGTTCTGCTGTCAACGGAGCTATTATGCCGCTTTTTGCATTGGTCTTCACCCAGATTCTTGATGTCTTCTCAAAAATTGGTGATCCCGATGGTATTCGCAGGGATTCTGCGTTCTGGGCTGGCATGTTTGTTGTCTTATCTGCTGTCGCTTTTCTTGCTAATTGTGCACAAGCAGGCCTCTTCACATTTACCGGTGAACGTCTCACTAGAAGACTTCGTGCCATGACATTTGCTGCTCTTTTAAAACAAGAAATAGGATTCTTTGATGAAGAAGATAATAACACTGGTGCATTGACGTCTAAACTCGCCACAGATGCGTCGAGAGTCGATGGTTTAGCTGGTAGCTTAATGGGTACTATTCTTCAAACAGTTTCAAACGTTCTTACTGGGTTGATTATCGCGTTTGCAAACGGTTGGAAGATGACTTTGGTTGTGCTGGCTGGAAGTCCAATTATTGCTATTGGTGGTTTCTTGGAATTGAAAGCACTTGCTGGGTTCGGCGCTAAGACGCGTAAAGCATACGAACAGTCTGGACAGGTTGTGCAACAAAGTGTATCTAACATAAGAACCATTGCTGCCCTGTCTCGTGAGGAAACCTTCAAGCAGCTGTATCATGAAGCCATTGTTAAACCTCATAAGATTGCTGTTAGGGGAGAATTAATTGCCGCTATTGGATTTGGTGCCTCTCAAGGACTTGTATATTATGTTTGGTCACTTGCCTTCTGGTAAGTATTTGATTATTGGTAACATTAATATATAATTTCATAGATCAACGAACTGACAGATGTTTGACTATTGATTTTCTTACCAGGTATGGATCACAATTAGTTAAAAACGAAGAATATACCGTTAAACAAATGAATATTGTGTTGTTCTCGGTCATCTTCATGGCTATGGCTCTTGGGCAAATGAGTACATTTGCTCCAAATAGTGCCAAGGCTAAGCTCGCAGCCATATCGATTTTCCGACTCGTTGACCGTAAATCTGCAATTGATCCTAGCCTTGTTGACGAGAATAGGATTCGTCCTGCTCCAGTGACCGGTGAAGCTCAAGTTCGCAACGCAGTTTTTAATTATCCAGCACGACCGGGAGTACCCATCTTACGTGGATTGGATATGGTAGCGCATTCTGGAAAAACAGTTGCCCTGGTTGGTCCATCGGGATCCGGAAAGTCGTCTACTATTGCATTATTGTTAAGATTCTACGATGTAATATCTGGAGCTGTGAATATTGAACGACACGACGTGAAAGAATGGAATCTCGAATATTTGCGCTCTAATATGGCACTCGTTGGTCAGGAACCCGTACTTTTCGACTTGACTATTGGAGAGAATATAGCGTACGGCAAGGAAGGTTGTTCGCAGGAGGAAATTGAAACAGCAGCAAAAGGAGCCAATATCCACAACTTTATTACATCGTTGCCTGACGGATACGATACGAGCACAGGTGAACGCGGTACACAGCTTTCGGGCGGACAGAAGCAGCGTATTGCGATTGCGCGTGCACTCATTCGAAATCCTAAAGTTCTTCTTCTTGATGAAGCCACATCAGCTCTAGATTCCGAGTCTGAAAGCGTAGTACAACATGCGCTTGACGCTGCCTCTAAGGGACGCACTACAATTACAATTGCACATAGATTATCTACAATTCAGGGTGCTGATTTGATTCTTGTGATTAAGAAGGGCAAAGTAGTTGAACAAGGAAAGCATCTTGAACTAATAGAACAGAAAGGATTATATCACGATTTAGTAAATAAGCAAACGTTAATGAAAAAGCAAGGTTAAATGATTACGACAATACTTTAAATTGAATAGACTTTCAAATATAGATAATGGTGTACACGAAAGGTAGAGTTTATACGGATGTTATATATTCCGTATTGTAATAAATAATTGGTAATTATTTAATACCAGACAAAAAAAAGCCTTACATACAGGAAATGTACCATACATTCAAATGAATATACTCAGAAATACTGTAGATAAATCCTTTAGCCCTCCCTCACGTCTGACTTGAAATGGACTAGATCATCGCACCTTGCCAAAAATCTTAAAATGACATATTTGAACTCAACTGATAATATTCCAAATATTAATTCTACCTTTCCTGAGGGCACTAATCATATTTAAATTTTCGCCCGCATTAACACGATCTAGAAAAGAAAACAAGGGTTTGATAAATTTCGATAATAATAAGTAATAGATCTAAATAATTCTTCCTTTCAATAGGGTTCACGCACTCTGTGCAAGCAAAAAGTAAATTCACGTGGAATTGCCGTTTAGAATATACAGTGGACTCTAAGTGCAGCTTCTCTAAGTGCCTAAATGCAGGCTCTGGTTTGGTCCCGAGATTATAAGACCATTAAGTATTTCACTCTATAAATGCAGGTTGTGTCATATGGTCCCGTCGGTAGGGAGAGTCCACTGTAATCTGCTTTTTAATGAATTTTTATGACAAATAGCAGGCAAATTTCGCACGTTAACATTAAGGGATGAATGTAATACATTAATAATCTGTCCCCTACATATGCATGCGCGAAGGAATATTCCCGCGCGCCCCTGACCAGAGTCCGTGACACTATTGATGATCCGAGTGTTCGGTAATCATTCTACCAACCGGAAAAATACTATCAAAAAAAAAAAATTTGCTGCAACAAAAGCTGAAAGCAATTCCACTCCCTGTTTATATTGACCATGGCATTACAGCTGCTTTCAGGTATTTGACAAGCTTTATGGAATCTTCGATCGTGCATCAAGATCTGTTTTGGTATCCAAGCAGGAAGATATCGACATTCTTTGGCGACAAGAATTTTTTGGTAAAAATACTCTCTCGCGGAGCGAACCACTCTGGGCTTTCAGCTACGAGAAAAGTAAGAAAGGTAATAAGAGGCAAAGTGGTTACACTTGATATTTTTCAAACGCTTGATTTTTTCTGCACTATATTTACCACACATTACAAGTATTATACATCTATCTTTATTAAGTTGGCTGGAACCGTCATGATATCATTAACATACGGTGTAATCCATTCAACAAGTTGGCGAACAATTTAACAAGAACAACATCAAAATCCAACTTGCTTTCTGAGCTTGCAGAGACAATTGCAAATGATTATGACTCCCGGGATTAAAAAATAGCTCATCAAACCGATCGGCCATACCCCTCAGTCAATATATAAGTGCTCAGAATTATCCTCCTTTTACTTCTTCACCGAAGCCCTCATCCCTTGTAGCAACATACAATGTTTAGTGCATATTAAATTTATGATCACGTGTCTTACGTTATAAACTACTAGTGAGATGTAAGGTTATACTGTAATTATGCTTTATATATTGATATTATTTCGCCTGTCACTAAGGTAACTAGGCAATAAAAGGATATTAAACGAGCAATATATCTAACAAATAAAGAATGGCAGCAGTGTTGCCAGTCAACGATCGATCGCCTTTTCCTACTTCAATTAAGGAATTATATCGTTCATTGTTCGCTCCGTTGGGCTATTGCTAAAACAAATATCATCCGTATTATTCTTTTCTTGGCCAAAGCAATTACCAGCACTTACGATATGATAAGAAATACAATCAAATCTGGTTATAGTACCTTTTTATCAATTATACTGATAACGGCAAATTCTATTTTATTATCATTAAATTAAAAGTGCATCTATTTGTCGAAGCTCACAGTTTAATCTACGGCGGTCTTGCAACTCGATGTGGGTGACGGCGGTCTTGCAAGTCACAGTATTCAAGATGTAAACCTATGAGAAAGAATATACATAAAATAACGAAAAGATATTGGTAGTAATATTCCTGACCAGCAGGGATAATACCGGTTAGCTGACAGAGTATTAAAAAAAAGCTTAATGCGACCAGCGCATAAAAACGTCGCTTCTATAGAAAAGCGAGAGAGTTCCGAAGCTGTTCTCCGTCCTTTGTTAGCTATGTTGCCACAACGAAGCTTGGGATAATAATAAGGATGAAGGGTTCGAAACCATGACTATAACTCGCTTTTTTTTATTCTGCTTATTATTAGAACAACTACTACTGGCCGAGGTTCTTGCTATTCATATCCTTCCGCATCATCTCAATCGGCCAGTAAAACTTCGCCATATTTAATTTCTCCAGTTATTTTTACTTTCCCGGGTTCCTTTTTTTTTATCAGTCTTCTCCACCATTTTTTTACTCGTCGGGTCATTAGCCCGCTTTTCATAAGCTTCGGCTAGTTATTTTCTTCCTCTTGCTCCCCCTACTTGGCTGATTTCCTAGGTTGAGGATAAGTCCGGTATTTCCAGAATTTTAACCGAGAATATGAAAAAAAAATTTATTTAACTGTATGTTGAAAATAATAAAAATATCTAACCAAGAAGAATCAAGCAAATTAGAAAAAATTAAAGTTGGCGGTTGAGTAAAATTAATCCGAGAAAGCCAAGAAAAGATTTTTATTACTTTGAATGATGGTTCAACCATCAGTCATCTTCAAATAATTACTTCACGGAAAATTTCCTGCACTTAGATTTATTGACGAAAATAAATTTCGGCAGCAGTTTATTAGCAAGTGGTAAATTTAATTCTTACCCCCCAACGCGAACAATCTTGTGAACTGGATATTTCTAAAATCGAGTTTGTTAACTCTGCGATTAGGAATTATTCTCTACCAAAAAATATATATTCCTCTCATAATTATTACCATTTACGGGCTAAACCCAATATAATTATTTTTGGGTGATTTTTCGCTTAAGACACGGTAAGTCAATTGTGTAACATTATATATACGAATTTTTTATACAATTTAAAGTGTTTTAAAAGAATGTAAAAAATTTCATGTGACAATAATAAATATTTTTTCTCTCATTTTTACACATTCCTAGACACTTGTTACAGAATTATAAACGAAGAGATCCAGTTGATCACGCAAGTTTAGAACAAGCAATTTCGACAATCTTAGACAACAGAATGAAAATTTCAAATGCACGCTCCCAGAAGAAGCTTGTTGGACCATGTGTTATTTGTGGAGCAGAAGGGTTGAGTAAGATTCCGAAGATTTACTGAAGACGCTTATCATAAAGCTATGCAGCATGGAACTTTAGCTTCTACATGGGTATTAAACATTAGTTAGTTCTGTCAGTCATTGCATGAGTTACATTGTACGCGTTACTGCTAAAGGTTCTGAGACATCTGAGAATGTGGTTCCTTCAAAGCGATGATGGATACAAGGTGAAGCAGTGACAGAGCAAGTTGGTCGTTATGATGGTCAACAAGAGTTAATAATGGAGACATCAGAGGTAAGTGACGATGGGAGAATCAAAGAGATTAATTTTATTGATCGATGGCGCAAATTTTTATACAAGAAAAAGAAAGAAAGTACTAGTATAGCTGGAGTTGGAGTCAAAGAATAATGGCCTCAAACCATTCCCCAACCTCCTTGAGAAGTTAATTAATCCGAGTGGTAGAGGTAAAAGTTGCCACCGATGGCCTTCACTAATTGAGTGACCTATCAATGAAAGATCGTTTAGTTTTGATAAAAGACTGCTTGAGCGCATAATTGCAATTAAAGAGTCAAATAATGTAAAAATAATTCAATTTCTTGTAAACATAAATTTTATTATTTCGATTATAGAATGCGCGCTCTTGAAATACTCGGACCCAAAGCCATAACCTATTCTTTGGTCACTCTTACTCTGGTGCAAATTAAGTTTCATTATCTTTTTTACTATCACTATTATTATCACTGTTAATATTCCTATGTTGTGGAGTTGGCTATTATAAATTATGCCATTTAGCAACAGGCCGAGAACAAAGCCAATAAATACTCCAAAAAGAAATTCGCTTGTGAACGTAAGTATTTTTGTAGATGTTATTGGTGGAAGTTGACAGATTTGTTTTATTACTTTAAACGATGTATTGATTTCTAAAAAGTGCTGTTTTATAATAAATTATCATCACTGCAGATAATCATTAAACGCGAATTTCTGCCACTGATCAGGGTTAGTATTAGTATATTGGAACTAATTTTTTTTCGAACATGACAGAAGAGTTAATAACGCAAAGGCGCGGCAGCAAAAAGCAGAGGAGGAATGGGACAGTTTTAAGGACGACACGGACGGCGGGAAGTTGCTAAACACGTTAAGTGACAAGGAGATCCTTAGTGACCGGCTGATTTATATATATATAAGACTAAGACTGATCCCATGATCGACAATTTAATTTGGTACGCGATCCAGCCAGCGCCACTAGTTAACTTGGTTCTTGGAAATTTTCTATGCTGATACCTTTTGTTTCAATTTTGGTACCGATAAAGGGTCTTTGCCGTTGATTGTGTTAACATTTTCCCATTTGTAATAATAGAGGTAAGCAGAACGTAATCGCTAGTTATATAAGCGGCCCTTATCCCATCGTCAAATTTTCATGTTGTATATGTTATATATGTTGTATATGTTATTTAGTTTGTTCATATTATTTTCCATTAAAATATCAAATAAACGATTCCCTTTGAAATCAAAATTTTACTTTCTTTCATCGTTGCAATATTAATCACTCAAGCTGTAAAAACGGCTCACTTAAGCTGTATAAATTATCGTTGATCTAGTACTCTTAATTGAGGAACGAGAGTTTTTAATTATTATTTAAACGAATATTGTTTAATTAGTTTGAGACAAGTGACAGAATTTGACTAGTCAAAATACCAAATCGAAGATAGCCCCGTTTAATATTAAATAGAATTTATTCCCCTTCGATTCCGCGATAAAAATAATTGTCGTTATTATTTTATTGTGGGTACCCTTATTTGGAATTACGAGTGATTTGAAGCTCGAATAGGGAGTTGAGAGGCGCGCATTTAATTTAATTGTATAAATAGGTCACTTGTAGATTAGAACTCAGTCTTAATTGAATAACTACCGTAATAAGGGCGGAGCACGAAGCTAATCTGGTAATAACCCCCGGTCGGAAGAACACCCCTACGCGAAAGATTAATCGCTCTCCCAAACCCCAGACCATCCGACCATAACAACTTTCAGGCACTGCACCAAAAGCTGTATCTGAGCAAAGGAGCCCTCTATGTACTCGTGGTGCTTTGTTGAGTACCCGTTATTATACTATCAGTACATGCATGCATTGAAATTGTCAAGGATTTTGCAATCTGAAAATTTTATTTGTGGGTTTACAATTTAATTTGTTTTCTGCTGTCATCAATTTAATATTAGGTCTAATCAGTTTATTCATTCAAAAAATATTGCTTAGCTTTTCTCGCTTTTTAATTTTTAAAGTTTTAAACAAAAAGAAGTATTAAAAAACAACAACAACAACAATATGTATTTAAAAAAATAAATAAAATAAACAAAAAATATCCTAGAAATCCAAAAAGAAAGCAATAAAGCACTAATGAATGAATTAGAATTAAAGAGAAAGATGCAAAAGCTGATTAAGGCATTGAGCGAAGTTGGCAATACTGACAATCCTGATCCTGGAAAAGATTGACCTGCGTTCTGTAAAAGTTTCCCTTTTAAGAATAATCGGCAAGGTCATATTGGATTACTTTGCAGTATTATAATATGTCATAATAAAACACGCCGCTTGTTATCTTGTAAGGATAAAGGCGTAAAGCGTTTACATGGAGTTTATATCGGATGTTTCTATCCGGATTTGGCGTGTACTACTGCATTACGGGGTAGAATGTGACCTGATTTTTGCAATTACATTGGCCAAATTTGTATATCAGCCAATGAAATTGCTCTACCCCTCATTATAGTAATAGTAATAATCTAGTGCGTTCTCATCAGTTACCTCCCCTACCAGATATGGTAACGCTTCGAGTTACTAAATTTGGCTACTTCCCCTACTGCATTTGGGAAGTATCATTATTGACTAGTTCAAAATGTGGGTCAGGCCATAAGACGCAAGCCTATTATGATATAGGGTGCTCTAATCAGTACAATTTGGTAACGTTTCGTTTACTAAATTTGGTAGGGGAGATAGCACTCGGGGAGGTACTGATGAGAACGCGCCTAGTAATATGCTAACTGCATCGGGTATATATTGATATTTACATATAGGTGACAGACTTTACAGATGCCCATATTCAGACATTTTAGCATCTAAAATCACAGGGTGCTCTCATCAGCTACCTCTCCTATCAGATTTGGCAATCGAAATTGCTAAAATTCGCGAAGACAGAGCAGATGGCTTTAATCGACAAGTCGGTCACACGTGATTTAATTGTCCCACGATTCAATTTACGGAACTTACTGGTGGACAATATCGAATGTATACAATTGAAATACTCTATAACATTAACCCATATATCAACATCTCTCTATTATCAACGTTGGTTATAGAACGGATTTTCCCCGTTGGTTTCACTATCAACATACAGATTTTATTTTTACATCAATATAAATCGTATTCTAAACGTCAAATTAACTTCAGCAGTTATAACACTTCTCTGCATAATACATGTAATTGAGACCGAAGAAGGTAATGAAGATACTGTAAATTTCCATCGGTTTCAAATAAAACAGCGTTGAATTATGTACAGCAATCAAATGCTCCATATTGTCAGGAACATAAAATTAACGTCAAATAAGAAAAAAGAAATCAATTCTCAAAGACAAGCGAGTTTGTCGATAAGTCGGCATGTACCGAGAGATCGTAATGCGTGCCATTAGGATGACAACAGCCTTTGGCATTGATGTTATTTGTTTCTCCAGTCAGACTCTCCCGTTGTGGTTTATTTCAATATCCCTAGCAACAGCTGTAAAAGTATTTGGGTTTCCGGTTTGCTCGGCTTGTTGCTGAGTTCGACTTTGTCCGGACTAATCATATTCTGCCCTAGATTTCTTCCTTTTTGGTAAATAAAATTTTGTGGGTGGGGATTTCTGCATCAGCTCCCACAATGATTACTTCCTCTTCTTTTAATTTAGTGGATATTCACTTCTTCGACCACTAGATAAAGTAATTACATAATCACGAGCTTAAAAATAAATTTTAACTTTTCGGCTTATGAATACCAAACTTGGTTTTCGTGAGGTCACTTGGTTCATTTCTGTCAAACGGTGATCCCCCACGTGATAATGGTTAAGAATGTCATCATAATGATGATAAAAACGATCTTTTATGTAACTCGTGTGAATTTCCAATTGGTGATTACTAATTCGGCTAGGTGTGGAGCACAAGACGATGAGAAGTACCATGGATTCACATTGAATGTAATACAAATAGTTACTTGACTTCTTTGGTGAGAAGTTGCATTAATTTACACTAATCTAAATTTTTATCAAAGCTTGGCGTATTCTTGGCTCTTTACTTTTCCTACTTGACTATATATCTTGTGTGACAACTATATACGAGACATGGTAAAATGTTTGTATGATTCTAGTACTCGTATAAAGTATATAAACGTTCGAGTGATTTATTCCTCAAAACATATAGTGATCGGATTAGTGCACACGTACAGTATTTACATTTCACATGTGCGAAATTATGGACTATTACCATTGTAGATGGAGCAATTTTGACTAAATATGACGCTCGATTAAAAATTTGATCAAATATGTTGTGTTTCGTCATATTGATATCTAATTGACTCGTTGCGCTTTAACAACATGCCAATACTGGCAAGTATACAAACAGCTGCACGCCTAAAGGGCTACTACTCTCCTTGGTGATTTATAACTTGACAAATTTAAGAGAACCCTAGCCAATCAAATAGCATGGCGTTCCGTTTAGGGCTAATATTTGTAATTAATACTGAACGTAACTTTGGGTGAGGTTGGAAGCAATAGTAATAGTAAATAGAACATAACAAATCCGTAACTAATACTAGTATTCACTTAGACAAAACATTTCTACGGCGCTATTATACATTTTCTATATGATCAAACATCTTTGACATCTTGGAATCGATCACGCATCTCTCCGGACATATAATGCCAGTTATAGGAAGCTCACTGTACCTAATCTGCACGATAATTAACAAAATCTTATTTCGGGAATGATTACACTTTGAAAGACGAATCGAAATCACAAAGGAATCAGATGGTGGTGTTACAAAAATCGCAACTTTTTCCGTCTACGGCAATAACATTAATAAAGTTTTTACTTCAAAGTCGTTCTTGCACATGTCGCTTTTCACGTGTCATTCATCTATCTACAAGGCAATTAACAAACAGTAAAGACCGATTGCGAAACGCAAACGATTCGTGGTTTTTATTATCATCAACTGAACCGAATACAGAAAGCCTGCTTACGAACATATAGTATCAAAGATGCAAATAACCCCCCTTTTTTTAGTCATTGCTAAAGCTATAAATGCAACTTATACTACAACGCATACACGCGATGGATCAATTTATATTCTTCGAATCATCGATTGTCAAAAGTCCTCCCTTCTGGTTTTGACATTATATACAAGACAATCCATCTGTCAAGCGCGTATAGCAAAAAAAAAAAAAAACAAAAAAACGGTAGATATCTGATAATCAACCATTTCCCTAATCATGTATCCTCTTTCAATACAACGAGCACCTGACCAAGCTTCGACCATGTTTTGGGTTTGTAGCTATGACTACGACCGCGAACCTGTTTACATAAAGGGACGTGTTCTATCTCCACTTCTGGTAAGTCATCGCTTTCGTCACTATCCGACTCTTCTTCGTCAGTGAATTCTACACCGATCTTTGTAATCGTACTTGCACCATTATACATCTTTCGCTTATAGTTAACAAGCTCTTCATGATACTTGAAGTATTCATAACTGGGAATACTCCCTAAATCAATACTTTTCCATCGACCAGTTTCGAGTCTTTCAAATAAAACATCTTGATAACAAACGAGATTCAGGTTGCTGTGTTCTCTATCCTGAATACGAGATATTAGGAATGGGAAGGGTGGCTTTGTTGTTATTGTTGGTGGTGTCGGTGTTGGTGTTGTCGTTGTTGTTGGTGTTGGTGTTGTTGGTGTTGTTGGTGTCGTCGGAGTCGCCGTCGTCGTTATTGTTGGTGTTGGTGTTGGTGTTGGTGTTGGTGTAGGTGTTGTTCTTGTTGTTTCTTTATCATTTATAATAGGGTTTAATATGACTTCCTTATCGTCTGTCCAGTTTCCTTCGTCAAAGTGGATCTTCTTGTTACAGTCAATATCGAAAAAGTCTTCTACAATTTCGTATTCAAAGCTTTCTTTAAATTTTCTCTTTTTTATGTCGTAAGATTTCTGCATCTCACACGCTGTTTGTTGAGTACTACTATTACGTAGAGTTGGATTGTCAAGCTGACAATGAGTAGTGCAACACCTAGCCATTGGAAGGCGATCTTAAATATAGATATGTATCAAAGTGGAGTGGATCTCGAAACACAAAAGTGACAAAGGTTGTCGTGGTCGGTGAACAAGTTAAAATCAAATGCGTGAAAATTAAAATATGGGGGGAACTAACCGGTGTCTGCTTATATGTGGGGGGATTTTTTCATGGTCACAAGACACACCGAAATAAATTCGTCGTGTTGGATCAACCAACGTCATTTTACACTCTACCGTTAACTATTAACTATACACTAATTGCTATTATTACCGGAAACTTTTTGAAAGCCGAAAATTATCCACCTCTTTACTTCGTTTATATATTTTCATGACTCGACGTGAGATCCCCGCTACTATCAATCTAAGTACGTTCAACGATGTCACTATAGAAAACCTTGTCTCTCTACAAACGAAAATAAAGAATACCATAAGCCGCGCCAGTTTTATCGCCTTAGATGCTGAATTTACTGGGTTGGGTGGTCGACATGCTGATACAAAGGCATTGTAAGCAATAAGTTGTTTGAATGGCGATAAAAGTATCGTCTGTCTACCAGATATTGATATAATCCCATCATTCGTCGGTATAGTAATCTTGAGGACAGATATGAGAACTTGTGCAAGGTTGCAAAGTCATATGCCATACTGTCCTTGGGGTTTACAACGTTCGAATTGCTATCGACGGAGGAAGGCGAAATACGATCAAACGAGCTGGAAAAGTCGTATGCTGTCCATAACTTTAGTTTTACTCTTTCTTGTCAGGTAGACAACAGAAATCGTCCGCCTTTTTATCGGTACTAATTGTAAGCTAATTAGATCAATACATCCGTTCCAGAGCGAACATAAAGTCAGTCCCAATAGTTTAAAATTCTTGGCTGGGGTTGGCTTTGACTTTCACAAACAATTGATGCACGGTATACCTTACGAACCTGGCCCCGATAAGGTGCTCTAGTGTTTGATGCAAGCATTGCTTACAAGAAATTCTTTCATTTGACTGATTCATAATGTTATTTGGTTCTTGTAGGCTTTTCATTATAAAAATCATCCAAATTCTATAATGAGATCGATATTCTCACATATTCTCGAACAAAAAATACCTCTAGTAGTGCATAACGGATTTCTAGATCTCATATTCATATATTATGCATTTTATGCGGATTTACCATCAGATCTCCACTCATTCATAGCAGATCTCACCGAGATGTTTCCTGCGGGCATTATTGATACGAAGTATATATCGTCCTATGTGACGGACGAGAAAACAACGTTCTTGGCTTATTTGTACAGAAAGTAAGTAACGGAACTTGCTACCTCTTTTAATCAATGATAGGTACTTATATTAATAACTTGTAGATACGAGAGAGAGCAATTCGAGAGAAAGATGGCTGGTAAGAAAGAATACTTGGATATGAAGCTTCAAGACAGACTATCGTGTATACCAGCCAAGCGATCAAGAAACGAAGAGGATGAGTATGAGTCAATTTCTCATGGCCACAACGGGCGGACGCACAAACCCCGCTATGGAAATGAAAAAAGTAGGATAAAGTATAATGACGATGATACTGATGATGATGACAAGTTACATTTTTGTCAGCAATATGCTGTAAGTGTTCCGATTACCTTATGAACGTTATAAACATCCGGATTACATTGCTGACTTTTTATTTCGTACTTGTAGTCATATGGATATTGCAGGATGAACATGAAATGTGGTAAATCGCATGATCTTGACTTGATACTTGATTATGAGGCTGAACAGGAAGATAGACGGAAGCACCACAAATTTGACTCAACTTTAAAGATTTCGATCAAAACAAAAAAGGATGGTGATTCTTCGGCTGATGTATCCCCATCGTCATCATCGCCCACGCTGGAGACTGAACATTCATCATTACGATTTTCTGTAGATAATGTAAAGATAAGCGCCAAAGCGAAGACTGTTAATGACAGGAATCATCGTAGAGAAAATTCATTAAGCGTCACGCCTAGGACGAAAGAAAATATTGAAACATATCACGCGGCACACTTTGATTCGTATATGACTGGATTTGTATTTGCAAGACAATTATTAATACTTTCGGAAGTAGAAGTGCTAAATGAACACAAGAACAAACTGTATCTTATGAACAAGGATAGGCCATTGCTTGTACAGAAGAGCGAATTCGCTAACACTAGTGAAGGGCATAGAATGAAAGTAGAAGAAGCAAATAGATCGAAATAGATATCATTGTAATTGTAACTTTTGTAATAATTGTAAATTTGATGTCATGTGACCACTGTCCTACCAAAAAAATTTTATTAAATTCAAAAGTACATTCTCTTCTTGTTCTTTCTTCTTTCTGCATCTCTTTTTGTTGCGATGGTGAGTGTGGGTGACAAGAAAGGGAAGCATTTATTAGGAATAGCTTTTGATCTTACGATTAAGAGAGTAATAACTAGAAAAAAAAAAGCTTCAAGTCGGGTCTCGGTGACGCCACCAGTTACCATGATCAGTTTACTGCTACTGCAATCTGACATGGAATTAATCAATCTAGTTGATGATAATACAACAACTCCATGCATTCCACCGTTGTTACCTCGTAACATACTCTCAAACACTCTTATTCTTGATGATTTGTCTACCTGCTATTATCACTATGATAGACCAAAAAGAGAAGAAACAACGGCCGCAACAAGCACGGACGTGGCCACGTTAAGCCTGTTCGATGTTCGAACTGTGCAAGATGTGTTCCAAAGGTAATTCTCATGTTTTGATAAAGCATTTTTTTAATCAACTAGAATAAGAATATCATGTGATTGCAACTCCACTGCATATTACTGATACATAAATGCTACTTTTCTAGGACAAGGCAATAAAACGCTTTACCATACGTAATATGGTGGAAAGTGCAGCGATCCGTGATATTACAGACGCATCTGTTTACCCTGGTTAGTTTGTCACTTCAAATAAGGGATGAACTTCAAATACTGGAATATTTGAGAATTTTGGCTTATAATTGTTCTTATTCATAGAATACGCTCTGCCAAAGCTATACATCAAGCTTCATTACTGTGTATCATGTGCTATTCACTCACATGTGGTCAGAGTGAGATCACGAGAGGGACGCCGTAAGCGAGATCCACCACCACGAATTCGCTATAATAAGGTACAGTACATAAATCCAGCAAGTCAAGCTTTGTAAAAGAAAAGGAAACCGTATTTTTTCCCCCTTCCCTTGTTATAACAATACCATACCATATTTATATAGGATGGTAAAAAAATCAACCCGAACGTCACGCAAAAGTCAACATCATAACCTGGCTAGAAAGGTTCGCTCAGATCTTGTTAAAAAGCTTGCTAATGCAAGCATTCGAATACACAGAATTCGCTGGGTGCCGTCACCGTGCTCTAGTCTTTATTACGCATTGGCATCGCAATAAAATCATACTTGATCGCTGATCAAATGTATCTCTTTAGGGATTTGAATGCCTGCTTAGTCTAGCATATGAATTAAAATCTATATGATTCATAAATTAAACCAAGTATTAAAAATACAGATAAATGATGAATAGATTACAACTGTCTAATATGTTACTCTCAATGCATCGTTCATTAATGTGTCGAGTTCCTATAAAAAATATAATCGACAATGCTTAGAATAATAATACTACCACAAGCGATATATAAAAATCATGCCTTCTACTCACCTTTTCTAATACATCCAACTCTGATTCCATGCTTAAGTAAAGCGTCTTAATGTCGTCTATAAACTCATTTGGATTGATGTCTTCAAGAAATTTTTCGGGATCGTCCTGCAATTTCCATCCGCTTCGTCTTCTCTCTTTCATCTCCATGAAATTCACACTCGATCTAACAAGGACCAGAAGTTCCTGCAGTCCAAAGTCATCCGATAAAACCCAATCACTCTCAACCACCGAAGCCATTCCTGGAGAGGAAGGTCTTCCAGGAATATTACCCTGCGTAGGACTAGCAACTGAGTTGAGAGAAGTAGTTGAAGCAACAGAGCCCGATCTAGCACGGCTTGGATTACTCTTGTTAGAACGAGGATATGAGATTCCTTGAGATTGTTTGGATTTCGGAGAATCCAGACTATTAGTAGCATTTGTTGATACTGGAGGTAATGATGTCTGGCTACTGGAGCGTCGATTATGAGGTTGACTAAGACGACGAAACCGTGTGTGTTCCTGAACAGTGGCTACTTTCGGTCTATCTGATTGTTGACGACTAAGTGCTGTAGGAGATTCAGGTATTTTGTTATTATACTGTCCAGAAGCTACTGTAAGCAATACACGTTCTATCTTTTCCTCCAACGATTGACTCATTCGAATATTATCGCCCTGTACTTGATCAACAGTCTCCATCAGTATGTCGGTCTCAGCTGTCAAGCTCTTTCTTGTCGATGCTCGACGATTATTCGGTAAGTCTCTTTTCTGGATGGACAATGGTGCAATGTATTCATCTTTATTATCGCGCGATTCGGAGTTTCTCCGTATTATTTCTTCATCTGATTCTGCGTTATCTTGTTCATCCATCTCTCCACCCCAAATGTTCTCAATGATATCACTAATATCAATTTCCTCCCCGCCTTGTTGCGGGATAAACGAATACCGCACTTTTTGGCCGAATATGCGAGAACTACGAATTGCGCCAGCGCTAGTTACAATATCGACACCTTGAGCGTCATTCTTATGCGCAGTTAGAATCGAACGTTGCCTAGCACGACTGTATTCGCGCTGCTGTTCTATAAGCTGCTTACGCGATAAGGTCTCTTCATTTTTGCCAGGCTTTTGAGGTTCTGGGCCGGACTTTAGATCAGGCATGGCATGCCGTTGATGATCTTCGGAATTAGACATTCGCAGTACAAATATAGGTTCTTCGAATCGATAATCAGGTGTTAATGACAAGTTCGAATCGACAGAATCAACAGACTGTGGCCGAAAGTCGGGTTGGTTTGGACATGCGTCAATGATCTTGGTCTTGGTTTGAAGCACCTTTTCTATTAATACAAATTACCATTAAAGTATATATTTTAACTGGAATGTAAATAATATATCTATAACTTAACAGTCAAGGAACAGCATTACTACTTACCCTCACCATCAGCAAATACCATCAGATTATATCTCGGTCTTATATCACCGTCGGTAATATATGAACCATCATCGACTATCCCATCGGTAATTCCAAATTTATCGAGGGCTTTTGTAATAACCTCGGCAACAGTGGCGCGCCCAGCAAATATCAATACTTTCTCCCTCGGCTTTCCTTCCTCTCCAGGAGACCGCCTCCTCGCGGCCTTATCAGCAAGATGCCTTGGTACAGACATTGATACACGCGGGACGGAACCTTTTTTCAAATACGACGGCAGATCATCATGATATATCAACACGTGCACACGTATTCGTCGCTCGCCAGAGGAACGGCTGCTGCGCTTGTTCTTTCTGTTTAGATAAAATCTCACGGTATTCCTCTCTAGAAATTCACTCAAGCGCAGATTTCTAATCACCGCATCATTTGACAGTTCAGATGATATGGATGAGATAGATTCTCGATTGACTTGAGGAAGAGGCGTTGTTGATGCGGAAACTAGTGTCTGGAAAATTTCGAGTGGGTGATCGTGTGGCATAAGATGAATTTCCTCTATAAAATTAAAAATCAAATAAATAGTTGTGAGGTTTAAAATGTAAACAATATAATGGACGTTCATAATACAAGATTATTAAGATTCTTGAAAAATCACCTCCATCAAATTCCTTCACCGTTATAAAATAATCTTCCCAATTTACTGGATTATCTAGTTTGAATCGCGTGAGCGATTGCTTTATAAGTTCGGTTACCGTGGTCGAACGGCTTAGTAATATTGTCTTATAACTGACATTTGTTTGGATGTTATTTCCTGGGTGAACAGTTAAAACATGAAGAAGAGGGCTTGTGGGAGCTGAAGAACCGTCGGAAGCTGCTTGAGAAATAGATTTGATGGAATCTGGCGTCCTACGAACATTTTGGGGCTGCATTTTCGGAGCCATGTATTGCTGGACAGGTTGTGATGATGGTTGGAATGGATCTCTGAAATTTTCTGGTTGTCTTGTCTGATACTGCATCTGTTGCTGTTGCTGTTGCTGTTGCTGTTGCTGTTGCTGTTGCTGTTGCTGTTGCTGTTGCTGTTGCTGTTGCTGCTGCTGTTGCTGCTGCTGTTGCTGCTGTTGCTGTTGCTGTTGCTGCTGTTGTTGCTGTTGTGCGTATTGTTGCATTTGTTGCCGCATCTGGCTTTCTTCTTTTCCTATACCTTGACCAAAATCTTGTATTAGGCCTTGCATTTGACCTTGGCCTTGTGTTGGGCCCTGTCCTAGCATTGGTCCTTGTACTAGCATTTGACCCTGACCTTGCGTCTGTATTGACCCTGGTACTACTTGACTTTGACCTTGACCTTGCATTGGTCCTTGTACTCGCATTGGCCCTTGTACTAGCATTTGACCTTGATCTTGCGTCTGCATTGACCCTGGTACTATTTGACCTTGACCTTGAACTTGACCTTGACCTTGACCTTGACCTTGACCTTGAATTGGTCCTTGTACTCGCATTGGCCCTTGTACCAACACTTGGTCTTGTACTAGACCTTGCGATTGCACCGGCCACTGTCCTCGCATTTGTCCTTGACCTTGGTCTTGTGTTAATCCTTGCGCTTGTATTGACCCTTGACCTTTGCCCTGCATTAACCCTTGTCCTCGCATTGGTCCTTGTTCTGGAGGCATTTGTGCATATGGCTGACCTTGCATCTGCACAGAAGGTGGCTGTAAGCGGGTACCTTGTCGCGAATCTGTCCTCGGCAGTGGTTGTACCTGAACAGAAGATGTTGCACCTGGTTTCTGTTGGTCTTCTTCTTTCTTTACCTTTTGCTTCTTTTTCGAGAAAAATTTCGTAAATATGCCTTCCTTCTTTTCCCTCTTACCCTTGCCAGCCTTCTTAGTATCCTCAGGGGGCAGGTCCTTCATATATTCCTCAATCGAAACTTTCATTCTCGTTTCTTCATCGAAGAAGAACTTGCTGGTCTTGTCCACTTCCTTTCGGGTATCATTTTCTTCATCAGAGAAGTCTATATAATCGCTGCCTAGGGAGGGTGTAAGCGTCATCTTAATAGTTTCTCCAGATGGCTGTTCGACGACATCTATAACTTCTTGATTGGGAGCATTATCTGGAGGTTGATAGGTGTTATTACTATAGCTACTGTAATTATTGGCACTAGGAATATATTGTCCTTGTATAATTTGCCTATTAGCATCGTCAGTCCTCTGGAACGTAGCGTTGTTGTCAAATGTTTTCTGTTGGTCTTCCGCCCACTGAGTGTTAGCTTGCATAGGTCCTTGCAGTAGCTGCTGATCTCCCCATTGCATGTTTTCCTGTTGTAACTGATGCTGATCTCCCCATTCTATGGTTCCTTGTTGTTGCTGTTGTTCTAGTTGCTGTTGTATTAGTTGTTGGTCTCCCCACTGCACGTTTTCCTGAATGGCCCCTTGTTGCATTTGTGTTTGTTGACTTGGTTGTATATTAGTTTGGATGAGTTGGTCTTCTCTTTCAAAATTTACATTAGCCTTCTGTTCGGTACCAATATTGTCCGTCTCTACGGAAGGATAAATTTGGATATCATCTGCTGCAACTATCGTTTCAGTGTCATCATCGTCCTCATCATCGTTTTCATAATCGAATCCGATATCGTCGTCTTGTTCCTCATCACTTTCAGCGTTATCTGACTCGACCAAATCATCAGCAGTTATTGCTAACGGGTTACCAAATGAAACATTGAGGCGAGCTTTAACGACAGGCTTTGGCTTCTGTATGACAGCTGGCAATGTCTCGTGGTGTTGTGAGGATGATAACTGATAACGAATAATAAATAAATACTTTAGTAATGCGAAAGTCAATATAAACTGCGACAGATTGTAACTCACGTTAACATTACGATGTTTATTTAATCTTGCCAGACGTTCCTGTGGCATCTAATAAGGAAGTATTATTATATAATTTTGGGAATGTGTTAATAAAGTATCCAATTTAGCAGTTCACGATCTTGATATCTCTACTATGTGCGTATTGCACGCAACAGAATAACTACAGCTTACCTCGACATTCTCAGCAGGAATGTATCCAACTTCCTCGCTTTTAAATACTTTAACTAGCCACCAGTAACTGTTTGAGTCGTCCAAGAGAGTCAAGGGTTCTCCTCGGACTACACTGGCCTGACCCTCTACAGTAGCCCCAAACGTATGCAAAGCATATACAAAATCAAAGTCTATGTTCTCATCGGGTATGGATGGCACAGAAGAGAGTTCGTCCTCGTCCTCGTTATCTTCGGGTTCAACATCTGTTTCCTCCTCGAGATTCGTGCCTTCGTTCTCGGGGTTTTGAGTATCTCTGCGAGAGGTGTCTCTTCTATGGCCTCGAGAAGCCGCAGCGATATCTATGGATAGCTTTGGATCTCGGGGCATGTTAAATGCTATGGGAGAAAGGAATGTAGGGTATTAATTGTTGTTATAAGATTTTGCCAAATGATAGAGAATGAATAATAATAATTATTATTTATATTATCAGTTGTAAATCAAACGCTTACTCGGGGACACAACCTGAGCAGGACCGCAGCAGGTAAGTATGGTTGTCAATGCGCGGCCAGGAAATAGCGATGCTCTAAGGTTCATTCACTAAGGTTGGAAGAGTACATACTGTATCTACGCTGACGGGTCGTTTTATTTATTCTTTTTGGTGTTGTGGGGACTGCTTACACCCGTATTACGATAACGCCGCCTAAGGAGGAAAAAGGTAATTAGCATAATTCGGCATATTAATATGATTACCATTTTGCATGCCAGCAGATACAAGGGCCCAAAAAGTATGAAAGCCATAACACATAAAGCGCGCAACGAACCGTTTTTGTTAACATCAGTACTAGCATCTCAATTAACTTCATACCATTACAGTAAGTTTTATTTAATTACACGTTTTAATATTAAAGAAAGCAATAATAATAACAAATTAGTGCACACAAAATCAATTAGTAAAGCATATTAATATGTAAACTATTCATTTCCGAATTCTCCTTGTATCCAGCAACTGTACTTCCAGAATAAACTATTAATAGTACAAATTACAAGTTTGCTCTGACATCGAGGAGCATCTCGAAATTGTTCACTCGTACGCTCATTCCCGAATTTTGTCAGTAGATTGGGTTTCATCGTTAACACAGTCTAATCTGGTCATAATGACTCAATCGTATGGGTACCTGATACGTGTCTCGGTCATGAGTTATAGCCGGCAGTCCTACAACTCTAATCTTAAATAATATTGTGAAAATAGCAAAAGAGTAGTTCTAATAACAATGTTCCCGTATTTATAGCAAGTGTAATTTAATTTATACAGTTCAAAAAAAATTAACATACGTATAAAGTGCATTAGACAATTTTGTCGCCTACTAACATTTCTAAGTAGAACTCATGTAAGCCTACACGAATTGATGGTTATAACTATACATAATAAAATGCTGACTAGCTACATATTAACACCAGCCGTGAATGTCGAATAATTATTTCTATGCCTACAGATACAGAGTCCGATCGTATTAGAATCAGCATTAATATTATGTCAAACGCTTATTATTATTCAGATTTTTGGTTGGTGACCGGAAGAACATCATTGCTCAAAATAGGACCTGATTATCATCCAGCTACCAACTATTTTGCAAATGTCTCAAGCTATTGGCAAGGTAAAATGCGTTCAATATACTAACCGGCCTGTTGCTCTGTTTGTATCCATTGCTTATTTATCTTTCATAAATTGATCTAAAAGACAGCACTAGCTTATGCGCGAGTATGGCATCTTGTAGATGCAAAGCAACGCATACTCGGTCGCTTAGCTACACAAATTGCAATAACACTCATGGGCAAACATAAACCAATATATGATCCAGCATGTACTTCTCATTAACGACCTATGCTTCGCATGCAGTTTACACAACTTTTAGCAATGCTAACTGTGCTCTATATCATATAACTTTACAATGGACTTGGCATTGTAGCGGATTGTGGAGATTATGTGGTAGTCATAAATGCAAAAGAAATTGCAGTAACGGGTCGGAAAGCCGAACGAAAGTTATATAGACACCATACTGGATATCCCGGTGGGCTGAAAGAAATTAATTTCAATCAGTTGCAACAGAAGAAACCAGAAGAGGTTAGATATCTCCACTTGTTTTTGTTGTTTTTGTTTTTTTTTTCGTATATACCCAATCCACTCATTTTATTCTTTGCAGATAATTCGAAAAGCAGTTTCCGGCATGTTACCAAAAAATAAATTACGGAATGACAGACTGGCTAGGTTGCTCATATTCCCGGATGAGAAACATCCGTATGAGCATAATATCATGAAAATTCATGACCCCGAACTGGCAAGAATTCTCGCGCCAGAAGGGATTGATCACAAGGCAACGGAAAAGCCAAATATAGAGACGACATCTTCACCGGCGAGCAATATAGCAAAAGACAATTTGATAAGCGGAAATAACACGAAGATATCTCGGCCATACAGAACTTGGCCCAAGAATCCCAAGGCATATATTCCACAATGACAACATAATGCAATGATAAAATGAATTCATACGAGTTTTATCAATGCAAGGTTCTGGGGAGTGTTATTAAATGACAAGACGGCAGGCAGGTGATATCTGCAAGCCTTTTATAATGCATTTCCCTGATTTCAATATCTAGCCGCGTTCCTTATGTTATTCCAATACCGTAATTGAATAGTGAGTTTTTTGGCGAGAGGATAATCTTTGTTTTTGAACGCTTTAGAAATGTCCTCGACCAAAGAATTCATTCGTGCTGCACAGTTCAAATTCGAAAAAAAAAAAAAAAATCAATATATGCCAGGCTTATCTCGTTTTTACTCTTTTTATTACCTTCGCTCCCATCTTGCACGACTTTTGCCTCGTCTTCATTACTGGCGCCCTCCAACTGTTCTCGTGCTTCTAAAACTTCCATAAGTAGCTCAGGATCGTCTACCGATTCAGCTTCATCAATCGTAACATTATTCAATTCTAGCTGATAATGTTATTATGAGTAAGGAAGTTTTCTTACAATGAACGGCAGCCCATGTCGCTGGGTTTGCCAGAACGAGCTTTGACACGGGAGTTGCTCATTCATTTACAATAAATGTACTCTCTTACCATGTATAATGACCTTTCGATAGGATCTCGTAATGTTTGGTAGGCCTTGTTTATCATCGATGACTGCTGCTGTGCGTATGCGTACTCTTTCTGTGGAAACGCAATATTACACAGTTGAATATTATTACTTGTTCGAACAATCGCCTTCAAAGCCTTCCCATTCGTTCACCTGGTCTTTCTGAGAATAACCGTCTGGATGTACGCGCTGTTGAAGTGTCAAGAAATTACGGCGTAATTCGCCCATATCAATGTCATATGTAGGTTGATTACTGCAACGAGTGTGCGATGAGTTTTACTTTCTATATCCAATGCTCCAACGCCCTAGCAATCTATTAATAAATCTGAAAGAGATCATTCCTGGACTGACCGTGTTCCATCATCCTCTCCAATTCCCATGAGTTCAAAATATGTCACATCTCCAGGGAATGCTTGAATTGCACCACAGTCTGCACGCTCACAATGCAGTGACAGGCGATCCATCTCTATATTACATTTCCAACAATGTCGTTTGGCGTCTGTCGAGGAGGTAGGGATGTCTGTAATGGTGTGAGACTGCATTACATAGTTACGGAAAGGCGATATTGACCAGTATGATAGAACTGACTTTGGCAGGACTACTGTATGAAGGATAGTAGTCGGATACAGTTTTACATTATTTGATCGTATTTGATGACGGTTGCGAGCGCTGAATGCTGAGGGTCGAAGGAAATATCGTAACACACGATATGCAACAAAGTTTGGGTGAAGCATCATCCTTCACTTGTTGATGATCACAAGCAACGCAAAAATTCATGTGTTGATCTTTTTACATCAATTTCTCCCTCACTACAATGTCTACTCTTTCGTTATATAAGTTTGTCGCAAAACGCCCCTTTCTCACAAATCTGCTGAAGCCGGTCGCCAATTCATATGCAAACCTCTCGGGTTATAGGAAGCTCGGTGTGTATTTCCTGACAAAGGCTTTTCTTCTTCTTTAACTAATTACTCACAGTGGTAAATTCATCCTAAAGGCCTAAGGTATGATGACATTATAATGGAGGAGAACGAGACAGTTCAGAAGGCATTGAAACGCCTTACAGTTGAAGAAGAGAACAGTCGAGTTATGCGTTATCGGATTGCTTTTCAACAGAGTCTACAGCAGACTATTTTACCAAAGGAACAATGGACAAAGCCCGAAGATGTATGTTACTATCGCGAATCTTTTTTTTTTCCTGGCGATCAAGCTAATGCTTGTTTATATCTACATTTATAGGATATCAGATACTTGACCCCACATATTAACGAGGTTGTTGCGGAAGAGAAGGAGCGGGAAGCGTTTGATGCTTTGAAGATTATAAAGAATTGACGATTCGAAAATAAAGATAACAGTCCGTTCTTTGATTATAATAACCCTTGGAATAAATTAATAATTCAATAGTCTTGCGATAAAGACTTTCCCTATACATGTGAATTCCATGTACAATGTCTCTCAAGACATTGTCACATATATGGACTCGTATATCATAGTTTCGCATAGCAATAACATATTCAATATGTGTTGTCTTTGTTACCATTGATGCTTCATTAAAAATATTTATTGAAGACGTGTTAGCGATAACGTTCTGGTCTCTGAACACAACGTGTATACAGTTTCGTAATAGGTATCTAAATATAACAATAATCCAAATAAGGCTTACCAACATCTCTGCGTCTCAACGACTCCACAAGGCGTGACTTCAAAGTCATATTGCAGATCTCATATGTGAAGTAACTCACAATAGTGGTCGTAATTGTCATCTACATCATCGTTGGAACATAAGCTCTTTCCCTTACAACCTATCCATAACATTGGTGTTATCCTCTTTATTTCAAAATCGACGATATGCCCTGTAACCTATAAATAATGCAATACTACAAATTACGTAGCCTTAGTGGGATCATAAGTTTTTCTATATTCGGCCTTCTCTACTTTTACTTCACCATCAATTAATTGATAGATATATGTTACTACGACTGATCCTTGGATATCCATCAACACGAAAGAAGGCTTCACTTCCCTAAAGAACAAAGGGAATTGTTAGCGTAAAGTTGTTGTCTCCTTCTATTCGTATTTAGTAAACTTACTCCGCACTAAATCCAGAATAAGCTCCAGTTGCACTCCCTGGATTGACAAAAAACTTCCCCTCGTATTCAAATGCCTCAAATCGATGAGTATGTCCTGTCAATAAAATATCAACGTCCATTTGTCGAGCAACTGTTGAAAGAGACTCGGTGTCGCCTACTGGAATCACTTGGTGTCCATGCAGTACACCAATACGCAATGGGCCATGAGTTATGATTTTCGAAAGAGGCCAATTGGCGAACTAGACATTACAAAGAGGGTGAAAATTAGCGCTTACGAAAAGGCTTGCACCATAATTGAAGATTTGAACCTGCGAATATTTACTTACCTCATCATAGTCACCTCGCACAATATGAATATCAGCCGCTACCGTTCTTAAATAGTCAAAGGTCTCCTTGTCACAAACATTCCCTGTACAGATAATTTGTTGTATCTTCCCAGGAACCTGAATCGATTTCCACAGACATAATATAAATTACTTCCTTTTTTTCCATTAAACCGCAAGTATATCTTCGTCATACCAGATCATACAACCAATCATACCAATAACTTCTTAAATTTTAATGGTAGGTCATGAACACGGTAGGGAACATGAAGATCGCCTATGACCAAAACCAGCTGCTCATAAGGTATGATATATCAGTTAGTTGGGTTTGTAGAATCTGCATTTTAAATATTACCCATTTCAGAAGCAAAGATAGAAACTATGTACATTGCGGAAGAACTTACCACCATGATTCCGAGTCGTTGAGAAGAAGAGGTATGTTGGAGGTATACGTACATTGTGATTGGATTATCATCGATCCGTTTGTGTAATATCTTCGACCAATAAAATTCGATTTACAAAACTTTTATGTCTACTACCAGGTTAAAAACTCTCTCTTAGCTAAAGTAAGACGATGCCCAAGAAGTCTGTAGTAAAATATAATCGTCTTACTGATGAGATAGATAATCGACTACTAGCACATATTAAAAAGATAGAACTAGATAACAAAGGCGTTGTTATAACTTCTAGCGTCGTCTCTGAATATGTGCGGAATGCAGACTATCGATTTAGACGTATGAAGAAGATGCAACTGGAAAAGAGTATTGATAGAGGTACCCGAATTAGTGACAGAGAATTGATTGGCTTGTGGACCGATTGCATAATAATCTAGGTGTTATATATCGCATACTATAAATTTATTAAGTATTGAAAACGCTCAAAAAGCAACGTCTTGAAGAACAGTCTGCATCGTCAGTGGCAGCGCAAATTGATGATGAACAGATCGAGGATGGGTTTGTATCTTCATCGTTGAGTATAAAATGCATATGTATATATATCTTTCTTTTTCTTGGCAATTTCCTGGTTTGTTTACCAGATCTTTATGTAAGCATGTCAAGAACTATATGCGAAATAAAATCCAATTGTCCGAGTAATTCCTTGACAAGTTGGGGGAAACCAGAGCATTTACTAATTAATAAATGAACCTTATAACTTGAAAGTTCTCCGAGTGACAATTCAGATATTACTAATGAGGAAGAGGATTCGGATTTTGCACAACTTGAAGACGTTCGATTGATGGAAGTAAAAGTATGTCATAAAGCGTCCCTTTGCCACAGACATGTCCCCAAAGTGATATGCTATTTCCTGAGCAATGTAAACTTGTAAATCATGCCTTACAGGACACGAATTCTATGAATAATTCTATCACACGACTTTGGTCACAACGCCTCGCGCAATCGTCTGATTCCCCGCAGTTGGAAGTTGATTCTACTCCAAAGGATGCTGACACATCAGAAATTATTTCAGATTCACCAGCAAACCCGTACGCTTTAAGAACGCCTTCCAAGACAGCAATTGTTACCAAAGATGATGTTATGCCCGAAAAGCGATTGCCAAAAAACAAAAGAAAAATAACTCAGGAATCAGAATCTTTTATAGATGCTAAGAAACTAAAGGCGAGAAGTTCGTCAGTTCCCCGTGCCCGTCTGTCGGATTTAGGCGGTGTCGATGCTTGTATTGAAGAGGTTCTTGAATTGATTGTCATGCCTTTAGCCCATCCAGAGATTTATTTGCATACGGGAGTACAACCGCCCAGGTATTGATAACTTCGCCAAAACAACTATAATTCCTAACGAATTCCTAACAAAGTCTTGGCCTTTTCCGTTCAAGAGGCATTTTATTGCATGGTCCGTCCGGATGTGGAAAGACATTACTTGCTCATGCTATTGCAGGGGTAAAGTGCGATTGAGAATTCATGCTTGACTTAAGCAAACGTATGATTTTGCAGCTAATAGTACATCCTTACATGCTATAGGAGCTGGGTGTTCCTTTTGTAAACATCTCAGCACCATCTATAGTGTCGGGGATGTCGGGAGAATCAGAGAAGAAAGTCAGAGAAGTCTTTGACGAGGCGAAGGTAATAGTCGGCAATGCTTCTTTAGTGGGAAAATCTCAACGAAAACACTGTTAACTGTAAGAGTTTCTATCGTTAGGGATTAGCGCCTTGCTTAATCTTTATTGATGAAATTGACGCGATAACGCCAAAACGAGAAACTGCACAACGAGAGATGGAAAGACGAATTGTCGCACAGTTACTTACTTGCATGGACGGTATGTGAACACCGTGTCAAAATTTTGTCTAGTATCAGTTCGGCAACTGATAGTCCGAGGCATCTTAGATCTGTCATGGGACAAAACTGATAACAAGCCAGTCTTAATAATCGGGGCAACGAACCGTCCCGACTCTTTGGACCCTGCATTGCGCCGAGCTGGAAGATTTGATAGGGAGATAAGCATGGGTGTGCCCGATGAAGAAGCGAGAGAAAAGTATGCGTGTGTCTGCCTTCGATATCACGCAGATATTACCACATTTGCGTACAGAAAATGCTTACATATAGTCAAATAATTTCATGTTTTTAGAATTTTGAGAGTCATTGCATCAAAACTAAGGCTTTCTGGTGACTTTGATTTCAAGTCACTAGCAAGAATGACGCCTGGTTATGTCGGTGCTGATTTGAATGCACTAACTGCTGCTGCTGGCGTTATTGCTGTTAAGCGAATATTTCAGCAATTCGGCAATGATATTACATCTACACAAAAGACTGATGACGATACGGACGCGATGATAACAGATGAGGGAGATATACTGACACTACAACAACCGCCAACTCCAACCACTACTATGTTAACATCGCATGCAGAACCTTTAGTACTATCGATCCCGTCAATATCTCTGGAATTCAGCAATCGCTCCCCAACGGAACAACTTCGTTCCATATCTGCCTTTCTTCGAAACCATCCGGAACCTCTCACACCTGTAGAACTCGAACCGCTCTCTATCACAAGTGACGATTTTATACAAGCCCTTTCAAAGGTCCAACCTTCATCTAAACGTGAAGGCTTTGCAACCGTCCCTGACGTCGCATGGAGTGATATTGGCGCCCTAAAGTTCATTCGAGAGGAACTCCGAATGGCTATTGTCGAGCCGATTAAGCATCCCGAATTCTTCCAAAGAGTAGGGATAACTGCACCATCGGGCGTTTTACTTTGGGGTCCGCCAGGATGTGGGAAGACACTATTGGCAAAGGCTGTTGCCAATGAAAGTCATACAAGTTTCATTTCTGTCAAGGGTCCAGAGCTATTGAACAAGGTGAATAAAAAGTGTCATGTTTGTGAATGTCTGAGGCAGGCTTATAATGGAACAAGGTGTATTCAATGGGAGAAATTCGATTTGAATGTAGTATGTGGGTGAAAGTGAGCGTGGAGTTCGACAGGTCTTTGCACGTGCACGAGCATCTTCTCCATGTGTAATATTCTTTGACGAACTAGATGCATTATGTCCGCGCCGTGATGACTCTAAGGTAAAGAGAAAATATTCCTAATGTCATCCTGCACATTTAGTCTTTCGGGGAATAAGTATTAAAGACTTACTATCACTATAGTCAGAGTCTTCTGCACGTGTCGTAAATACACTACTCACCGAACTCGATGGATTAGAAAATCGAAAACAAGTTTATGTCATTGCAGCTACTAATAGACCAGGTTAGAGTAGTGCTTTGTCTTTACTTAAACTGCCGAATGTTTTAAGTTTTAGTCTTCAAATTAATTGTAAATTTCTTTAATTAGATATCATTGATCCGGCAATGATGCGTCCAGGACGACTTGACAAATTATTATACGTCGAATTACCAACTGCTCCTGAACGCCAAGAAATCTTACGAACATTGACAGCAAAAACTCCACTCGCTGCCGATATAGACTTTAAAAAGGTTGCGGAAGACCAACGTTGTGAAGGCTTCAGGTCAGTCTATACAATTGCATAATCGTGCTCTGATCGTGAGATATTAACTTGGATCTATTCTCCTAGTGGCGCTGATTTAGCTTCCCTCGTTCGCGAAGCTGCAGTCGTTGCCTTGCGGGAGACATTCTACGCGAAGGATTCTATGACTTCAATATCTCCCAATGAAATTTTTGTTACCGCAGAAAACTTCGAAGCTGCCTTTGCAAAGGTTGCTCCAAGCGTTTCCAAGCAAGACAAGAAGAAATATGACACCCTAAGAGTTAAGTTTGGATGTGCTACAGAAAGCAAAGTTGCAGGGAGAGATAATCCCATATAAATTGGTCAAATACTGAATAGAAATAAACACGTAGACTTACAGGTAATCTATTATTAAAAACTAGTAGTAAAAACTTTCTGAGAAGGGATGCATAATTTCTAAACTCCCATTACTCAGATGGTATGGCGTAGTCCCTTTTTATTTCAAACCGAGTGTAATGGACAGTACACAAATGCATTCCTACTTGATTGAATCAGACATTTACACGGTGTTGGTATAGAAGTATCGGCATTACTGTTCCTTCCAAGGATAGCAAGCGAATGTCATGATCAGAAGGACTGTCTAGTTGTAATATAAGACTTGCTCTTTAGCTATGAAAAGTGGTCCAAATTTTATCTTCTCTATTAGTACTCTTGTTCGAAACTTGGTGTACAAGAAATTTTGATTGCCTTCATGGCATCTACATGACAAAATCAAATAGCCTGCTAGACGCGATTATTCCAGATTCCAACATGGCGTGCGGTGTGTTTCTTTTATCAAGAGCTTTGAAACTTCCAGCTCATCTACTAGTCTGTTAGACTCCCTTGACATGAAGAAAAGTACTGAAAGATATCGATGCCATTGGTTTCGATAATCAGGAAGATGAGTCTATTTCTTTATAATGTAAAATACAAAATAGTAATCAAGGCATTCGATATGACTTCATAAAGTCCAAACCATCTCACGTACGCGAGAATAACTTTGGCGAGGGAGGCGTCTTTAATTACTACAATCGTCCCTTGAACAAAGTCTTAAAGTTGTTGTTATGGAAGAACTTATCTACAATCATTGGTTCGACTATAGGCACCAAGCTTTTCCATTTATTCTTCTTAGCACCTGCATAAATCTTAGCACCCCACCCTTTTATCGTCGCCAAATCTTGATCCGCTTCACTTTTTGAGTAGGAAGTGAACACGCAGGGAATATCCTTCTCGATTAAACAATGAACTGTCGGCATCCAGAGTTCCGTATCGTCTTCGTACAGACCAGAGTTAAAGCCGACTGCCAAATGAGGTGTTAGAAACTCTGATGATTGGACGTATTCATGGTATGCTCCCTTGAAAAACACAATATTGCGTGTCCTTTTAGCTTCTGTACACAGTGAGCAACAGTCTACGGAAACATTCTTGCTATCTGGTATGTCAAACCCTATAAGCACCATTCGCAAGGTTTTGAAATCAGGCAAGACGTGCATCAGTTCTTCGTAAGCCATCAACGACATTATCTCAAACTGTGCAGCGCCGAGTATGTGAATAACAAGTTCTTCCAACGAATGCAATGTGTTTTTTTTATAAAACCGCTCCAATGCTTCAAGAACGGTTAATGGTCCAGACAGAGAATGTGAAGCTACACGTGCGTATTTTGGGATAAAAGATGGTGCCTTACGCCAAGCAAAGTATGCATCCCAGTCTGCAGGCAATGGTGGAAAAGATTTCGACTTGTCCCATGTCTCTGGAGCCCATAACACTCCCTCACCACCCCGTTCGTACTGTATCATATCGCACTCAACCACCTGTTCGTACGTCTTACAAAGCGCTTGATGCTTGGAGCGATGAATGTCCCAATGTTCATTAGAGCAACATGCAACTACTCTGCAATTTGAGCAGGGGATAAACTTTTGCGGACTTGTCAATTCCAAGGGTGTCAGGAAACATACTTGACATTTAGGCTGAAAGAACAAGAAATTTTTTTCTGCAGCGGTAGCTGGCCTGTCTAGTAAATCGTCTAATAGACGAATGTGTTGAACGATGCGTTTATTCCATTCAGACTCGCCTTCACAAGGCCACCATGACTCTTCCAAATTTGCAAGATCATACAGTGCTAAGCAAAAGTGCTTGTGATCAGGAAAATCTATTTTTTGACATTGTTTTGAGCAATAATATGACATACGGCATCTCGCGCAACGCAGAAGAGCTGGGACGTTGGCTTCATGACTTGTCTTGCAACAACTAGAACAAGCTATTCCTTTAATTTGAAGTAGAGTTTTGCGCTTTCGCAGGTCTTGTTTCATAGCAAAAAAGGTTTTACTGGTAGATCAAATAATTTGGGATCTTGTGACTTCAAATACAAGTGAAACTCGATATAAGAAAGTTGATCTAAAAAATAGTCTATGAAACTATCTCTATATAAGAAAGTTACTAATAAACTCTCGGTATAAGAAAGATTCTAAGGTTTTTTACTATGGGTCCCGATCACTCTCTTATATCGCGAGCCACTTGTATCTGCAATAGTTGGGTTATTATCATAATAATAAATAGACACGACGGTATAATCGTTAACAAGTTCAGACTTGACGGATAATTTTTGCGAAATGATAATTCTATTGATCTTGTGACATTTGGAGTGTGGTAACCCCTTCTCGTGAAACTTCTTTACAAAGCATGAATTCCATTGATACATCGTGCTGGATTCAAACTTCTACAAGACTGACGTCCTCCCCGTCCATTATGACTCTTGTGTAATTTGCTAATAATTGCTAGATCATATTACTTAAATCTAAGCTATTATAATACTTACGACAGAGTCGTCAGCTTCTTGTTAGATGACATTTGGCCGCACGCTTTAAATTAATATAATAATAAATAAATGGCCTAACAGTAAGCTTAACGCGTGTTGTGACTATTACAGGAGCTAAATGACAGAAGTTATATATGTGAATAAGTCTATTTTCTATTCGTTCTCGCCTTTTTATTTTACGTTTCTTGATTCAAGTCTTCTGTAAGCCATACCGGATTTGAGAAATCAACCAATATCCTCTTCATCCCAAGCCCATTCTGACGTTTCATCTTTAACTTTTACATTCCCGGTTTTATTCCCCTTGTCCTGCTTCGTTTCAGTAATTCCTGTTTCATTCTGTTCTCCCTCTTCTTTCTCTTCCTCCCGTTTCACATCTTTATCAGTGTCTCTTTCTCCCTCAGTTAAATCTTTCTCTCCCTTTCTATCAACATCCTTTTCTTTTTGTGCTTGCATTTTCTCCTCTGCCTGCCCCCTTGTTTCTTCTATTTCTTTATCGACACCTTGCTTCTCCTCATTACACTCGCTATCGTCAGCAATTTCACCGTCTTCTGGTGACGATTCTGTAAGTTTGTCTTCGGTGATCGATTGCTGACTATTATTATTATCGTTGATATGACTGGTAGATGATGTAAGTAAAGTGCCTGGGTTTACGTGGATGGTAGACATGTCATTTTCGTCCATGATTTCGATTAGTTCTATTGGTGGCGTAGAGGCAGTGTGGTCAGACGGATGTTTGCTCGGCAATGAAGAATTATTCTCATTATCGATAATTTCGTTTGCATCTGTCATCACGATATCAGTCGTCCCAGTAGGCGTAGTCAATTGGCTTCGTAACTTCGATTCTTGCTCTCTCGCGTTCTCAAAATCGTCTTCAGCCTCGTCTGCATCATCATCAGTGACTTTCCTCTCCTCTCCCACTTCCTCTCTTTCCTCTTCCCCCTCTTTTCCTCTTTCCTCTTCACGCTTCGAAGCAGTCCATGAATCCAATTGCTTAACAAAATTATCGTCGTCTTCTTCTGGACCCAAGCCTTCTAATATCTCTAATAATAATTCGTACTCTTGACATGACTTCTCGTATAGCCGTATCTTTTCTTGAGTATGAGTCGTTAAATGTGAGGTTATTGCAGAAAGAGTAGAATGCAGACGGTGATGAAGAGGGCTTATGTTGACCGAGGAAACGGCAGAAGGTAAAGTTGTTGGAGGAAAATTGGAAGTTGGGGAAGAGGACGGAGAAAAAATGTAAGAGTGATCATAATGATGAGAATGAGGAATAGGATAAGTTGGTGGACTTGTGCGAGGGAAAGTTGTTGGTGAATAATAGGAGAAAAAAGATGACACGTGCGGCGAGAGATCGATGGGTGATATTTGTGACGTGTAAAGACTATAAAAATTAGTTGCGGAAGAAAAATAAATCAGTATCTGAACTTTCAGGGTGTTTAACACGTGATTCAATTTCTCTTTCCTACCTATGCTCTATAAAAGAATTATGTAAATATTCCGATCCTTGACCGGATATTATGGTTAGAGGAACAGGGATCACACAATCGCCATGATTTGTTCTGGCCTATATAACAAGATTAAAATTCAAACACGTGAGGATATTATGAATATTCCCTGTTCATTATTCGCGCGTATCGATTACATGCTTACAGTTTGTACTAAAAATCTTCTTACCTTTTTACTGCTCCCAATATTATTATTGTCCTCTTTTTGCCTTTTCCCTTTACTGACACCTTCTCCTTTTCTTCCCCAGTCATTCTTTGACGATTTCATTCTGTCCATATCGGTCGTGCTCGCTCTTCTACTTCTAGGCCTGCGACCCGTTGCGCTTGGGTTAAGATCGTAACCAATTGCTGTCGGCTGTGCGTCTAAATGCATATCAGAAGTACTCGTTGGTGATGACAAATAAGGATGAGGTTGAGGAGACGGCGTGTGAACGATTGGAGTTTGTTTTGAATGTGACGCAGTTGGATCATCAGAAGTAAATGGACTTGGATTAGGAATTGGGGAGGCAAGTTCAGAGACAGTTGATTTATCATTGACGTTGCCATTATTATCACTAGAAACACCGTTATCTCCATTATCACCAGTAATAACACTACTGTTGTCATTGCCATTACTATTGCCATTACTACTTTCCGTTCGTTCCTCTTCAGTTTCCTCTCTTATCTGCCCTTCTATTTCTTCTGCTTCTTCTTCGTCCTCTTCCTTCTCTTCGTCGACTTCCAAAAATTCATCCAATTCTTTGTCGATTCCGACGTCCACTATGTCTTCCACATCATCGTCTAGTTTTCCCATCAATTCCAACACTTCCTCGTATGTTGGTGCTGATACAAATGCTTCGGCAGTGGCAGACGTTAACGGTTGGATCGCATGTATAGAGGAATTGAGTGCGGCGTGTGAAGATGTGTAGGGCGAGAGAGGAGACGACGGCGAGGCAAGATGAAATAAATGAGAAGAGCGATTATATGAGAGGATTGGACGGATTATTAAACCGATTAGGTGTTGAAAAAGCGAGGTACATTCTTGGGAAAGCTGGGTAGCAAATACTGGTACGTCGCAGTCTGTGAAAAAGAATATGGTATGGGGAAAATAAGAAAAGAGAAGAGAAAGAGAGGAGAAAAGGAAAAAGGAAGAAGGAAAAAAAAGCGAGAGGTTATGAACAAGTTTTGAGAGAGGGCGAAAATGTAAATGGAAAGAGAAAAAGAAATTATTCGGTAGCATTATTTTTGGATATTGGATACGTTATTACATATGTATCGTTAGTGAGTGTATAAAAACACCTCTCATGCACACATCCATGTATTAACCTTGTCTTTACCGGTATGGTTTGGAATATAATTAGCAGTGATTACTTTCAACATTGCAGCATGGAAAGTGCGAAAATACGATGACGCTATGTGCGTTGGGTCATGACGGTCCACTATATCCGGAGTTGGCGCCTGAGAAAGGAAGATGGAGGACAAAAGAGAACAAAGATCCCAGTGGTCAATAGAATAGTAGTCGAAATAAAATTCCAAAGCATAGTCATGACTGACATCAAGTGTACCTTTGCCATAATGAATATAGTTTCGCGACATTCAATTAAGGTTCCTAGTTTACTCGCATACTCACCACATACCATCCAAGTACTGTGTTGCCTTTCCATCTTATAAACTTTGCTATTGTATTAACAAGATCGGAAGACGATCTATAGGGGAGGAATCCCTGTGAGGTATAAACAATATTAACATCCATATTTTCCAACAGCTCTCCGCCTTGTTTCTTATATCGCTACCTTTACTTGTACGATCAGTCCTCGATCCAGACATTCTTCCCGTACACCAAAAAGTATTCCTTGACTGGCTGTTTCAATCTCTGGTTTGAGTCTTATGAAAACATCTGTACGCAAGGGGAAACGAAAGCGGCGAATTAGGCGTTGTCGGAGTAGGTAGGCGAGTAGCAGTATATTTGTATGTACCCTTGGGTATTTCGATCAGTGGCATGGCTGTTGTTGCCCGTTGTCAATTGAAGAATCGAGTTGTGATTTTGACGGGTTGTGACGCATAATAAACAATAAACGTCCGAGAAGTAAAGTGGTAACTCGGTATATTATGTAATTAGTAATCATATTAGGTAGGTATTTATTGCAAATTTATTACGTCAGACATAAGCATACAGAGTTACACTGTCTTTCAATGCTAGTTCTTCGCGGCTTTGTAACCACTTAAGAGCGGAAACCACTTTCTTAGAGAGGATTATGGCAGGAGATTGATATCACTATACTAATACGAGTTTATTCTGCTTAAATACATAATTCGTGCTGTATTTTTCCATGCTCAAGCATTTTAGTAATTGCAATCAGAAAATACAATTGCAGGGATTCTTTTTCCTCAGACACATGAACTTTTTGAATAAAATGAAATTTGATTATTTTACTTATTCTTAATAATTAAATGCTAATAATTATATTATCTTTAGTACTGAATGCTAAATAAAAAAAGCAGTACAAAGAATTAATACTGATATTTGTTATTCTTGATACAACGGTAACTCGCATATGACTGGTTCTTTCCTGCACCTTCGTGTTTACAGTAACGTGCAAAAGTATCCTACCGGTTGTATCATCTAAACGTACATAATAATAACTCCTTAAATTTTCCAG